ACAGTCTCAAACTTCAATAGATATAAATACAGCGAGTTAAGGTAGTCCTCTCTCTTAAAACACTAACATGGTATCAGAGCCGGCGAGAGTAAGGTATCAGAGGCTATAGTAGGTTTTGTTTGTGGCTATCAAGTTTTCCTTATACCTATATATTATATAGTCTCACACTTCAATAGATATTAGAAATACAGTGAGTTAAAGTAATCCTCTCTCTTAAAACACTAACATGGTATTAGAGCCGGCGAGAGTAAGGAAGTGGGCCGTGCTCGGAACAGTATGGCGACGCCGGAGCTGGAGTCGGGTCACCATTGGAGCCGCCACGTGCCCTTAGTACAATGCTAACTTCCCCCTTAGTACCATTGAAAAGCTTGAACTAAATGCTACCAACAATTCTATTATGGAGAGGAAGAGCATTGCCAAGGTTTAAAAAGGTGCGCCTCAAGGCGAGGCGGAAGGTTTGAGCATTGAGGCTTCAGCCTCTCGGGCAAAGTGAGAGGCGGACGCCTCAGCCCTTCGAAGCGTACGCCTCAGGTACACCTTAGGGCGTGTCTGAGGCGGTAATTGATAAAAGTGATAGAAGAAAATAGGGTGATGGCGTTTAATACTGCAAAAATAATGAACAACTTATCTTGAAGGAAAATCGGGTTCCCTGTCCTGTTGAAAATAATGAACAACTTATCTTGGAGGAAAATCGGGTTCCATGTTATCCCTTCCTATAACTGTTTGGATTGCAACAAACATGATTGTTGTAATCAGGGTAGCAACAAGCATGCATGATGATGTAGTGCCCTTCATCAATTTTTATCCTTGTTTGACTAGATTTTTGTGTTGCTCGGTGAACAACATCTGTGGTGTTTGCCCTCCTGAATCTATGACTGCACAATTTTCTCCACTTTCTATAAGTGCTCAGCTCAGATAAGAGGAATACATTGTTACAAAATGTTGAAAAGTTAATGAAAATTTAAACATTTGATAGTGTGACAATCACCTTAAACCACAACAATTCACGTTGCATCTAGAGTGTAGCCCCCTTGAGACAATGTTGAGTCGATTTGAAGCGACGATTTTTGCAGCCAAGTGTAACGTGTTCTCGTTGTCAGTGCTTAGATACGACATGATTAGATCTTTGTGTCCTCATATGCGGTAGATGAGCCTGAAGACCTTTTCCTGGCGATGAATGACAGCAATGTGGAAAACACTTTGGCTTCGCTCATTCACCTTCCATATCAGATCAGGATAAGAGCGAATAAGATGGAAAACAAACAGAATGATTCCTAATTCAGCTGCAACGAATAATAGATTGAAAGGACTTTTGAGCAATTTCCAATTTGTGAGCAGCGCAACAAAATTACATGTTCCCATGAACACTTAAACAACTCAAATGCTTCCATGCACATTATCTTTCTTTTCTTCATATTTGTCACTCCTAATGTTACAAAAAAAAAGATTAAATATTCACTCGATTGAAAAATATCCAGAGGATTAAAATCAGGACCATATTCTGTGTTATGTACCGGGTAATTGTTGTAGATACCCATGTAGTCTAGCAATGAATGGATGAACTGCAGTTTCAACAGTGTATTAGTGTAATACGTTCAAAACTACCTTTGGTGTATTTTTTGCAATTGGGATCAGACTCATCAGAGCTGCGGATGAATCTGCTCCGAGGATGAACAGAGATTCCTGTTAAAATTGGGATTATTTTTGGAGCCAAATATGAGTTAAACCAATAACCATTCCCTGACTAAATTGTGCTCATTTTCTTATAAAGATTAGTTAGACGTCTATTTGCCTTACTCCTGTTAGAATAATTTGGATGTTGGTTAGGTTTTTGAGGTTTGTTAGAGGTTATGGTGGGTTTAGTTTGTAGCTATCAAGTTTTCCTTGTACATATATATTGTACAGTTTCAAACTTCAATAGATATTAGAAATACAGTGAGTTAAAGTAGTCATCTCTCTTAAAACACTAACATGGTATCAGAGCCGGCGAGAGTAAGGTATCGGAGGCTATAGTGGGTTTAGTTTGTGGCTACATATTGTACAGTCTCAAACTTCAATAGATATCAGAAATACAGTGAGTTAAGGTAGTCCTCCCTCTTAAAACACTAACATGGTATCAGAGGCTATAGTAGGTTTAGTTTGTGGCTATTAAGCTTTCCTTATACCTATATATATTGTACAGTCTCACACTTCAATAGAGATTAGAAATACAGTGAGTTAAAGTAGTCCTCTCTCTTAAAACACTAACATGGCATCAGAGACGGCGAGAGTAAGGTAGTGGGCCGTGCTCGGGACAGTAGGGAGACGCCGGAGCTGGAGTCAGGTCACCATCGGAGCCGCCACGCGCTGCCCTACTATTCCGAGCACGGCCCACTACCTTACTCTCGCCAGCTCTGATACATGTTAGTACTTATACGTTGTACCTATATATTGTACAGTCTCAAACTTCAATAGATATCAGAAGTACAGTGAGTTAAAGTAGTCATCTCTCTTAAAACACTAACAACTCCTAAGTCCTAACTTTATCAATAGCTAACAAACACAACAGATAGAGATTAATTTCACTGTCTAGTAACTTATTATATTATTGTCTTTCTATTTAATCTGCAAGAATATAATCTTGAGATGAAGTGCATAAACTTACTTATGTATATCCATTTCTGCAAGAGTCCAAGCTAGTGTTTGCCGAAAAACGCCAAAGGCTTTCTTGCTAAGATATGGAGTACTGTCTCCCATTTGGATCGCGTTCAATTACCAGTCCCGGCTTGTGCAGAAGTATATCCAGGGTAACATCTGTTGGAAATGGAACAAATTCATTAAGCATTTTATATTGAAGCAAAGTCCTCAAACAAATAAAGTATACATTAGTGTCTTCTCACCAAACAGATAAGAATTGATGGTTGCAATAACAACATAAAGATATCACACCATCTCCCTGTGACCAAACAGTGCATCCATGTGAAGAGGTGTTACCCCCTTGTTGCCCCTCACTATTCGCAATTTTCTGTTCTTTGTTACCCTAATCTCCACGACTCTTTTTATTCCAGATGCAGCAGCAAAACAAAGTGTTGAGTTATCATACTTGTTTTTCAATTCCAAGTCTAATGGATTCATAAGATTGACCAACTCTTCCACAAAGTGAATGTGATTGGCTCCAACAACAATATGAAGAGCTGTTTTCAACTCTTTGGAGATCCTGGCAGATATTGCATCTGGATGCAGACTGATAAATTCTTTAGCCTTCTGCCAATCACCCTTAGTGCAGCTTAGCATAGAGGAATGTAAATGAAAAGATTTGTAGATTTTGTTCTTGAAAAATAACATGAATAAACCTTTGACTTTAATTTGCATATATCGATAATCTTCTAACTATACAACTCAAATGTCCACATCCACATTGGACAAAGCAGCCTTACAAACTTGTTCTTCATTTTCTCTACTTCAATTCATATTAAACCTTAATTCCTTAAGAATCAATTATCATTCACGATTAACCATTTTGAAAAATTCAAACCCACACCTTTAAACTGCTCGAAGAAATGCTTCAATAGCCAAATTTTACAACCAGATGAAATAGGAGGAGGCAAGTGATTGATTTGTTAAGGAAACGAAGAGTAGCCTTACTTTGTGATCTAGGAAAAGAAGCAGAGAATGTGTCTGGAGTAGTGGCTGGGCTGACAACCTAGTGTTGGAAGGTATTGAGCGACACCGCCGCAGCAGCCTCGACTTGATTGTGGTGGCTACTGAGCTGAAGTGAAATAAAATGTTCTGGCGCCGTTGAGGTTGGGGTTCCTATGTTACGGTTAGCCGTGGAAGAGGAACTAGAAGCCTTTTTCGGGAAGCATGACTCGATTGAAAGGGTGCATTCCAGTTTCAAGGTCTGCAACCGATCCATGTCGCGTGCCTTGTTAAAGGTCTGGTGACGATATGCATGGAATCTTCCTGGAAACTGATAGTGTATGTCGGGGTTTATACGCCCAAAGTCCATTGCATTTTCACTGACACGTACTAAAATCTCTGCAATCATTAATTCTCTCTCTCTCTCTCTTTTCAATTTCTTTCTTTGATGACATCATATCTTTGACATGACAACTATAGTACCTAGTTGATTTTGTTGGTAAATTTAACCATCTTTATTCGTGGTATTAAAGTTTTTGGATAGTATATATTGGGAATGAAGTGTTATATAGACATGGTACCATTTGTATAAATTTAAATGAGTAAATATCATTTTTAGTTCCTTGACTATCATAAGTGAAGCACATTTGGTCCTTCACTATTGTTTTTTTTTTTTTTTCAAATTAGGTGCATGACTTTTTAACTAGTATCAGTTTTGGTCCTGCGATCCAATTTTCCGGCCGCATATTACCGAAATTCCAACAAAAAAAAATAATATGTTATAATTAGAAGGGCATTTTAGTCCTTTCAAATTTATTTTATTTTTTTCTTCTTCCCCTTTCTTCCTCAGCTCTCCGTTTCTATTTTTCACAAACCGTAAAAGAATATCCAAACTTCTATTTCGAGTTGAGGGATCCGAACTCGTCTCAATTGAGGACCAAATATGTTGTGTGCATAATAAGGTGGTTAACTTATTGATGTGGTTATTCATGTGATACGAATTTATGTTCTCTAGTGACTTTTACAATAGAAAATTAGAGGCTATGGTTAGTCACGTAAGCTGAATGGTATATATTAAAAAAAAAAAAAAAAAACACCAAATATGCCATATATGGAGGCAGTTATTACCGTTGCAAATCGTTGGTTGACTAGAGTGGACCAATAAAAATCCTAAAATCCAACGCCAATAACGGTGTACCGAACAAAAACCTCATATTATTTATGTTTCATGGCCGCCCTCGTTCTCAGGCTCTTTCGTTCTTTCCTCAATTCATCATCAATCTGCCCAGCAGAAAAAAATGGCAGAGGGAAAAGAACAGATAAGCGCAAGCAACAGGAAGATCATCGTCGCCATCATGGTCTAACCGCTATACTATCATAATATGGGCATTGCTCATAATCACCATGCACTTACGACATTGCTCTTCTTCCCCTGTGTTCTGTTGATCATCGCCGTGCCACCCACCGGCTCCGTCTCCGACGGGGAGGCGCTGCTGAAAGTCAAGAAATCGTTGAACAATGCGGCGGCTCTGGATTCTTGGCACGCCGGCACGGATCCCTGCGACAAGAGGAATCTGTGGATCGGCGTTATTTGCGTGAACGATATGGTCACCGGGCTTCGCCTCGGCGGGATGGGGCTGTCGGGGAAGATAGACGTGGAAGCCTTGTCCCAAATGCACGGCCTCAGAACTCTCACAATCATGCACAATTCCTTCGCCGGACCCATTCCGGAGTTCAACCAAATCGGCGCGCTCAAGGCGCTCTACATCTCCAAAAACCAATTCTCCGGCGAGATTCCGCCGGATTCCTTCGCCAAGATGAGGTCCCTGAAGAAAGTATGGCTCTCAGACAACAAATTCACCGGCAAGATCCCTCCCTCCCTCACCAGATTACCTCGCATCATGGAACTGCACCTCGAAAACAATCGTTTCTCCGGCAAAATTCCGGAATTCAAACAGAAAACCTTGTCTGCAATCGAGCTTGCAAATAACAACCTCCAAGGGGAAATCCCGCCCAGCTTGTCAAGATTCAACGATTCATCCTTCAAAGGAAATCCCGGTCTTTGCGGCGCAAAGATCGGAAAACCCTGCAAACCACGGTCACAATCTTCTCCTCCTCCGATTCCGGGTAACGGTCACGGCAGCATCATTACCAACGATAGTAAGAACAGAAAAATCTCAATCGCGATAATGGGGCTGTGTATTTTTATACTCGGGCTCATGATCCTCGGAATAGTCATCCTGAAGCGCCGGCAGGAGAGGCATGGAGCTCAAGAGAGGGACTCTTACGACGACCCGTCGTCGATCGGATTCCGGCTGCGGAGCAGGATGAGCGGCGCCGAGCTAAGTGGCCGGAGACTCAACTCCTTCCGAAGAGTAACGGGCAGCATGAGGAGGGGAGGGAATAATGGAATGGGGGATTTGGTAATGGTGAACGAGGAGAAAGGCGAGTTTGGGCTGCAGGATTTGATGAAGGCGGCGGCGGAGGTGATCGGAAATGGGACGCTGAGTTCTTGCTATAAGGCCACCATGACAAATGGCACGGCCGTGGTGGTGAAGAGAATCAAAGAAATGAACAAAATCGGAAAAGATGCGTTCGATGTTGAACTCCGGCGTCTGGGAAGGTTACGGCACCGGAATATCTTACCCCCCTTGGGTTATCACTTCCGGCAAGATGAAAAGCTTTTGGTGTATGAATACATGCCCAAAGGCAGCTTACTCTACGCACTACACGGTAAGTAATACCACTTTACTCTGATTATAATTGATAACCTATTCTGCTAAGCAATTGAGTCATGTGATTTACATACCTCCAAATGTTATGTTAAGACAAGGTGTGTGGGGCCTTTCATATTAGTAATTCAAGATAAAAATTGATAACACTCTAATCAAGTTGATCCAGATGTTAACTTGATAATTATAAGATAGTACTATTAAAGTGAATTGACAATCCAAGGGTAGCTCAAGTGACAAATGAGCTCAGTGACAATTTCCTTTGGATCAGTTCCTGTGCCTGGACCGTTAAACGGACAGAGAAAGTGAATTGGCTTGTCATGAATAAATGTTCAATTTAAATATATAGAAGGTTCATTATTTAATAGTTAGTACTTAAATAATTTACCTTCACAAAATGAACCTCCATTGGTCCACTTTGCAAGGTACATTGTAGTTCATAGTATAATGATTACCCGTCAAGCTGTGGGCCTAAGCGTGTTAGGCCTCATTTTTGCTGTTCATTATTTTCGTTCCTATATACTAAACTTTGATGTAGATACTTGTATTGTGACTCACATGAAAAAAATAATTTATTAAAATTCATCACATCACCTCTCATTTAGAGGATCAATCGGGTACCAGTGGACCACAAGCCACTTGTTACATTGCATGTAGTAAAACTTTAAATAAAGCCTAAAACCTCTCACTTTGAGTGTGGTTAAAATTGATAAGGTAATGGGCAATTTCAAAAAGTTAGTCATAGTGTTGAGTTTATTGCTACAAATTTCACTTGGTGGTTAAAATTAAAATTCTCAGGTGATCGTGGAATTATGCACTCGGAGTTAAGCTGGGCGATTAGGTTAAAGATTATACGGGGAGTTGGGCGAGGATTAGGTTATCTCCACAACGAACTAACTTCATCCCAGGCACCACATGGGGATCTGCAATCCAACAATATTCTGTTGACGGAAGATTACGAGGCGGTGCTCTCCGATTACGGCTACGTTTCGCTGATAAACACCGCACAGGCCGCGCAAGCACTCTTGGCGTTCAGGTCACCGGAGGGGCTGCAGTACAACAAGGTGTCGCCCAAATCGGACGTGTATTGCCTCGGAATCGTCATCCTGGAAGTCGTCACCGGCAAGTTCCCGTCGCAGTATCTGAACAACGGCAACGGCGGAACGGACGTGGTTCAGTGGGTGAATTCGGCGATCGCGGAGGGGAGAGAAGCGGAGGTGTTCGATCCGGAGATTGCGGGCTCGGAATCCACTTCTGTTCAGATGCGGCAGCTTCTGCACATCGGCGTCGCTTGCGCGGAGAGTAATCCGGACCAGCGGATAGCCCTTTGGGAAGCCATTAGGAGAATAGAGGAAATTCCGACGACGAGCGGCGGCGGAGAAGGAGTGCCGGAGACGAGAACGGCGGAGGCGATGCCGTCCCTGCGAGATGGATATGCGGATCAAATTGAAGAAGGTCGAGGCGTCACCGTCGCCGTCGTCCGCGACGGCGCTGAAGTAAGGTAGTGAGTGGATCGGAAACCGTAGCGTTAATTAGCTTTGCTTTAATTAGACGATTCTTAGTTTAAGCTGAAACGGCGGCCATTACTTTGAGCTGAGCAAGCTAGGGAATCCTTAGTATAATTCATTAGTGTCTTCAACATCATCTACTCCTCCATTTTCAAGCTCATCTTCCTTACTCTGTAATTCTTTACTTGGGGATGGATCATATGGCTGGAAAGAGGCTAATGTAGTATTGCATGTTTAGAATATAGGATATTATCATCATAAACTTGTATTAAAAAGATACATTTCAATCATAAATTTGTGTTTAGTTCTTTTTTTTTTTTTTTTTTTTTTTTTTTTTGAAAATAATTTGTGTTTAGTTCTAAAAAATTATAATGTGATTTATTGATGGAACTTACAATATTGAGCAAAGGGGTTCATGTTTATTTTCAGAATCCAATAAAGATACAGTATAATAAGCTACTATAAATGGCTGATGGTGGATAACTAATTAAGTTAGCCATAATTGAGTTAATTGATGATATCAACTGATCAATTGATTATATATATATAAAAAAAAAAAAAAGAAGAGATAAATTAACTGTTTATTGATAATATGTAAAATGACATATAAGGCTATAAATATATGTGCTAATTTATTAGCTTTTAAATAACTTTTATAATAATAATGCCAAAGACTTTGTGGTCGAGCGCCATAAACTTTTTGTGCAAAAGTATGTATGAGCGCGCAGATACTACCAAATTTTAGAAAATTAATTCCAACCAAATTTTGGTACGAAACAATATATATATATATATATATATATATATATATATATATATATGAAAGGGGGGTGCATTTAAGACTTTCCGTGCGGTTGGAAGCACATTAAGCATTACACTGACGCACTTTAAGTATACAACACACGCACATTAAACACAAACAAAATGCATTTAGAAAATAAACTCCCGCACATTAAGCAAAAAAGTCAGACATCTTAAGCATAACCCTCACGCACCTTAAGCACAAAACTCACGCACGTTAATCACAAAAACACAGACACCTTAAGTTTTAACAACAACTTACATTAAGTACACACGCACGCACATTAAGTACAAAACTCACGCACCTTAAATACAAGACTCACGCACCTTAAGCACAAAACTCATGCACATTAAGCACAAAACTCATGCACTTTAAAGTTTCAACAACAACTCATATTAAGTACACACTCACGCACATTAAGCACAAAACTCACGCACCTTAGACACAAGACTCACATACCTTAAGTACAAAACTCACGCACATTAACATTACACACTCACGCACATTAAGTACAAATCTCAGGCACATTAATCAACCGCACGAGAAGCATTCAACCGCACTGGAACCCTACCCTATATATATATATATATATATATATATATATATATATATATATATATATATATATATATAGAATTCTATTCAGGTAAAAACCCATCTTAAAATATAAACATGAGGTCTAATTTGGAGCGTTGGATGATGCGGGTGGACGGGTGTGATTTGGGCGTGTGAGATGCTATTGTTTATTGAGTTTTTATGTTAAGGGGGGTAGATTTGGTATTTGGGGTGCATTGAGTCCTAGTCAGACTTAGTTTCAAAGTCACGCGCACGGTGGGAGTCTCGCTATTCTTCCGGTCTTTTCTTGGCGTGCGTAGGGGAGTGTGAGACGGTACTCTGCTATCGCGTCTGGTGCTCAGGAGTTCGTCGATCGCACGTCGCTATGGTTGTCGGTGGGGACCGCGGCAGGTTGAAGAGGGGGGGGGGGGGGGGGCACCTGATGTCGGCGGAGGTTAGTGTTCTTTGTTTTTTGTTTTTTTTTTTTCATCGCTTTGTGGCATATTTTGCGCTCCGATTTTTGGGGGGTTTTGGTTGCTTGGGGTTCGTAGACGTGTGGGTGTGATCGGAGGGAGCCGGGGTTGCCGTTTTTGGTGTATGATTTTGTAGCTAGGGTTTGGTTGGGTGCTCGTTTGTGGGCTGGGGGGGTTTGGGGTCGTGGATGCCCGGTGCGGTGTGGTGGATGCCCGGTGCGGTGTGGTGGGGGGTTTTTATTTTTTTTTAATTTTTTTTTTTGTTGTTGTATTTGCTTCCGGCGTTCGCCGGGCGGAGGGTTTGGGGCGGCGTTCGTCTGCGGGGCTGGGGGGGGGGTCTGGCTGTGGGAGTGTGGAGTTGCCGGGTTCTTTGGTTTTTTTTTTTTTTTTTTTTTTTGCTAGTATTTTTGGTGGGGTTTTTTGTGGGTGTTAGCATTAGTTGTAATTGTAGACACCGGGTTTTGGTGCTGGCTTAAAATTGGGGTCTTTTAACGAATTGGATAATATTATAGTATGCCTTGTTAACGAATAGTTGTAGTTAGCACAGTGTGGTAATTTATGTTGTTGTATGTTAATTTAAGTTGTTCTATGTTAATTTAAGTTGAATGCACTGCCATTTGAATGTTATAATTTAGGACCTTTCATGTCTTGATCATACTGTTTTCACCTTGGTTTATTTCTATGAACTGCTTATTCCTGGTGTGTCTACACATGATGTGAATTTGTATACAAATAGCATTTGATAAATTAGTTGGACTAAGGTTCCCATGAGTGGCAAATTTAGTACTTCGCATCCTGATAGATTGCTTAGCTGTAGTTAGCTGTTAATTTAAGTTGGTCTATGTTGAGTTGTTAGTTGTACTCCCAAAAAACTCCACTGTCACTGCCCCCTAACCCCGTGGGGTGGGGGGTGGGGTGGGGTTTATCATATAGTCTAATACTATTAGGTGTAGGTAAACTGTGCTAGTGTGCTTTTCTTTTTAAGTTTTGCTTTGTTAGTGTTGGAAGTGTGTGCTCAATGTGTGCTTGTTCTCTTAAACTGTGAGTTAAACTGTGCTAGTGTGTGTAATTTAAATTGTGCTGTGTTAGTGTTGGAAGTTTGTGGTTAAAGTGTGCTTGTTCTCTTAAACTGTGAGCTGTTTGTATAAACTTGGTTGTGTGTTTTCTGCAGGTAAGAAGGTTAAGGGTGCGCGGGCTGTTCAACGGGTGGTTGAGGGGGGTTTGAGTGATGATGATTTCGTTTCCCCACCGTTGGCCTTCTTGGCTAGGTTGGAGCAAGACCCGCTGTGGAATGCGGCTGACGATTCTTCGGATGAACGTGAGAGGTCGGTAGAAGAGGAGGCTGATTTTCCTACTGTTAAGTTTCGGGGGCAGACTGGTGTGCTTGTTGATGCGCTTCAGGATTTGTCTGTGCGCCAGAAAGATGACATTAGGGCTATAGGATTTGGACAGTTGTTGGATTTCAAGGTGGCAGAGTGTCCTCCTAGCCTTGTGCATTGGCTGCTATCTAATTTCGATGGGCAGTCTAGGACGTTTGACTTGGGCGGTGGTAGAGTCCTTCCTGTATACGAGCGTGATGTTGAATTAGTGTTGGGGTTTCCACGGGGCGAGTCTGAGATGGTGAAGCGTGAGAAGTTGCAGATTTGCAACCTGTTGAAACATTGGAGGGGTTTGTTTGGGACGGTGAGGTATACGGTGTCTTTGTCCATGGTTGCAGACAAAGTTATTGCGGGGGTTGATGGCGGTGACTGGTTCAAGAGGCATTTTTGTATGTTGGTGCTATCTACGCTCGTGTGTTGTATGAGCAATGGCTACGCAAATCAGATGTATTTTCACTGTTTCGATGATGTTTCTAGGATCCACGAGCTAAATTGGTGCAAGCTTTTGCTAGATTCTTTGGTTGAGACTCATGATGCTTGGATTTCGGGTCGTCATAAATGCTTTGTTGGCCCTGCTGAGTTTATTGCGGTATGTTAGTATTTTTTATTTTTTATTGCGGTACTGTTTTGGTGTTTTATTTCCTTATTTTGTTGTTTATTGTTTCAGTTGTTCTATGTGGACCGTGTGTTGGCTTTTGAGCGGTCTGTTCCACGGCTTGTGCCTTCTTTTCGTGGTTGGACATCTGAGCGGCTGTTTGCTAGGGAGGCCACAGAAATGAGTGCTGGTGGTTTTGGTCTTGGAGAGATCGAGCCTGCTGGTGTGTGCTTGGATGCTGATGCTGATGGTCCTGAATATGGGCCTAAGGTATGAGTGCACGCTGTTATGTTTTACTTGCACACTGTTTGTTTTTTTGGGAGTGTGCTACCTTTCTAATTTATGGGGTATTTGTTGTGTTCGCGCTAGACGTTTGAATGCGTGGTTGGTGAGGCTGCTGTTGCTTTGGGGAGTTCGGTTGATAGCTTGGCCCAGTTTTTCAAGATGGCACGTGCTAGGGTGGCGGATGGGGAGGTTTGCCGTCGTGTGTATGCTCCTATGCAGCGCAGGTTGCGGGATTTGGATGCTGATTTCCGGGAAATTTCTGAGGGGTTTGGCGTGAATGATATGCCTTCCTTTAGCCTTGGGTTAACGCAGGATTTTGCGGCGGCGGGTGAAGGGGGGCGGGGTGCTGATGCGGGGCACAGGCGGGAGCCTTCCCCATCTCTTAGGGATTCGGTAAGCTTGTTGGTGTTGTGTGCTGGGCTGGGGGCCGCGATTAAGGAGGCTGGGTTTGCTGGGCGTGGGGCTAGAGGTGATGCTGTTGGGGGGGCAGGTGTGGGTGGTCGCGCTATGCCGGAGTCTCGGGAGACTACTGCTGTTGTTGAGGTTGGGTCTTTTAACTATTTTTTCCTTTGGTAATGATTAATATTGGGTGTCAATATTTACTGTGCTAGTATATATTTGTTATTGTGCTTGGCAGAGTGATGATGATGGTGATGCGTCTGGTGGTCACGCTGGGGGTTCTGGTTCAGGTGGGGCGCGTACGCCGGACACTCCGGAGTTTTCTACTCCGACGGAGGTGTGAATTGTTTATATTTTGTTGAAATTTTGCTTATATATGTTAGTGGGTGTGCTGGCAACCTGTTGTTTGTGTGCGTGTGTGTTTTTGATAGGTCTGGTGTAGTGTGCTGGGTGTGTGCTTCCGGTTGTTAAGTTTTAAATGCCTCGGGTCTTTATTTTGTAGGAGTGTGGTGGTGGGGTTGTTTCCCGTGGTCCTGCGTTGTCGGGGGGGGGGGGGGCTGTCTGTGCGGCCCCGATTA